AGCGAGGCGGTGGCCGACCGCGAGGACGACCCTAACTTCTTCAAGATGGTGGAGGGCTTCTTCGACCGCGGCGCCAGCATCGTGGAGGACAAGCTGGTGGAGGACCTGCGCACCCGGGAGAGCGAGGAGCAGAAGCGGAACCGGGTGCGCGGCATCCTGCGGATCATCAAGCCCTGCAACCATGTGCTGAGCCTCTCCTTCCCCATCCGGCGCGACGACGGCTCCTGGGAGGTCATCGAGGGCTACCGGGCCCAGCACAGCCAGCACCGCACGCCCTGCAAGGGAGGTGAGCGCCGGCCGGGCCTGGGCCGTCCTCCTCCCCAGCCGCCCTGCTCCTCCGGCCTAATGCCGGTGCCAGCGTCTGCCCAGCCCAAGCGGGCTGCGTCCCCCTCCCACGCTCCCCGCTCGGGGCACCCCCCACCCCCGGGTGTGGCAGGCTCTGTGGAGAGTGATTTTTCCGCCTTAAACCACCATGTACTTGGCCTACCTACTTCCCCTGTTCGAGCCACCACCCTGGGCCTCTGCACGCGTTGCTCCTGTGTGCAGACACTGCACGCGTGTCCTTTTGGTCCCAGGGTCACTGTCACACGGTGGGTCCTGCCGAAGTGCCCTTCTAGGAAAGGGAATGACCAGCCCATCTGATTCAGCCTTGCAACTTTTTGCAAGGTTTTTGTGACTCTCCCCCGAATGCATACTGAATTTTTTTTTCCCACTCCTGTTGTAACAGTGACAGGTGATGTAGAAACATAGAAAATGACTTGCCTTCTAGGTTTGAAATCTAGACAGCTTTACTAACCAAAGAAATTTACTAATCACACGTTGATCTTTAAAATTGTTAGTTTTCCACTCTGACAGGTTCTGTTTCGTACCAAAATATATATATATATATATATATATATATATACCCAAAACCGCCAGCGGTGTGACATCTCTGACAAATAAACACCGGGCGGCCTGACAGTAAATCTAAAGGGTGCAGGCTGCGGAGCGGCCTGCCAGCCAATGGAATGAAATAGCCCTGGGGGTGTGTACTGGTCCTGGCTAGCACCAGATTTGAGCTTCGGGAAAGATAAAGTACATAAAGAAGTTGAGTCAGATATTTGGTAGTCACTGTGCTATCCTGTACCTTAAATTGTTTAATTTGTAGATTTAGCTTCTTGAGTCACATTGCTTTCCTTTAGCAAATGAAAGCTTTTTCTTAATTTTTTTCAAGATACATTGCACAATACCTCATTAAAGATGCCTAAAGGTAACCTAAAATAGGGCAAAGTCACTTTTTTCTCTTGTTTAAAAAAAAAAAAAAAAAAGAAAAAGCCAGGGAGGTGAGGAGTCTTGCTGGAGGTGGTTTGGCCAATAAGTCTTTCTAAACCCAGTCCAGTGCGTTTTCTGTTATGCCAGCTGACTTCTAAGGATAATTTTTAGAAATTCTCTCACCGAAAAACTTGATCTGTGCTGATGTTCCCACCAAGGGGAACAAAGTTTGCTTCTAAGAGCTTAATAATTTGCTAAATTTGCATTGACCCCACCCACTTACCTTTGGAGCTTCATTACCCCTAGTTCTCTGGTTTCCTCTACTAAAACCAATACTTAACCACTTTGACCTCTAATTTCCCTTCCAACTCCAAAATATCATAATGTACACGTGTCAGTGTCCTGCATTGTCTTCTTCCTACCACTCCCTTAGTCTCCAAACCAGGAATACAAATTCAGACTCCTAAGAAAAGCAAACAAGCGTGTTGGGGAAAGAGGCAGTTACAGCAAATGTTAAATTGCATTGCTTCCTTAAAATGGATTTCAAGTTTATTTTACTATCTTGTTGGCAGCATTTTTAGTCCCTTAAAAGATACACAAATAAAGCAGTATATTTGGTTTTCTGCAGGATCTAATTGGGTCTCTTTGAAGTTCTTTATATTTTGTTATTCAAGTGCCCAGCTCTCTCCTATTTTTATTTTTATTTTTATTTATTTATTTTTTTGAGTTGGAGTCTCACTCTGTCGCCCCAGACTGGAGTGCAGTGGCCGCTCCGGCGATCCTTCTGCCTCAGCCTTCGAGTAGCTGGAATTACAGGCATGCGCTACTACGCCTGGCTGATTTTTTGATTTATTGTAGAGATGAGGTCTCGCTGCCCAGGCGGGTCTTGAACCCGCGGGCTCAGGCAATCCACTCGCCTCAGCCTCCCAAAGGTGCGGGATTACAGGCTGAGCCACTGAACCCGGCTCTCCTATTTTTAAAAGTCACAACTCTACAAACTCACTATAGCAACTCGGGTTGACCATAGTTTTCCAGTCCTCTTTCTCTTGTTCCCACAGCAATTTTAATGCCAAAATTTTGAACCTAGCAACAAAATGCATCAGCCATACCAAGTGCGTTACTGTAGCACTTGCTTGTACTGGAGTATGAGATACAATTATCTGTTCTGTTTATCTCATTTACAAAAAGGCATGCTGCTAAAAGCACTATTAACCCCCAGCCTATAAACATAGAGAACTGAATTGTAACTAGTAAACTGTAACAAGCTTTGCAAGATGATAAAACATGAAAATTGGCCTCAATGAAGTGATAAATTTGTTACCTTCAGGAATTTGAAAGGTTTTATAAATTGGGGAAGATTATATGCTATGAAAACCCTTAAAATACTTTAGTGTGTTTAAACAGCAGACTAAATAGATAATCAGTAGAAATTGGGTACTGTAGACTCTGCTTTGCATTCCAGGCACCCCAATATCTTTCTGTCTCTCACCCTTGTTTATATCAGGTAATGTGTGTTCTAAGAAGAACTTAATTTTCGTTTTTGGGGGGTTTTTTTCCTCCACTTAAACATATAATTTTTTTTTTTTTTTTGAGTTGGAGTCTCACTCTGTCGCCCAGATTGGAGTGCAGTGGCCGCTCCCGGCCACCGCAGCCTCGACCTGCTGGGCTCCGGCGATCCTTCCACCTCAGCCTTCCAAGTAGCCGGAATTACAGGCATGCACTACCACGCCCGACTGATTTTTTTGATTTATTGTAGAGATGAGGTCTTGCTGCCCAGGCAGGTCTCGAACCCACGGGCTCAGGCAATCCACTCATCTCAGCCTCCCAAAGGCGCGGGATTACAGGCTGAGCCGCTGAGCCACCGAGCCCGGCTATAAATTTATTTTTAACTTAGAAGAAAGTTGTTAGCCTTCTTAGTCTGGCTCTGGTCTTAGAGATAACAATATATTAGGTGGCTAAGATGTTTAAAAAATGCTTTGGATAATCCTTATTGACTTCTGTCTTTCTTAAACATTTTAGCACATTCTTTTCCCTCTTTCCCACTAAATTGTCATCTTTTCCAGGGTTCTTTGAAAAAAGAAGGAAAATCTCATCTGCCTTTACATCCTTTCCTAACCCTCAGCTTTTATATTTAATCTTTCCTCAAGAGTGACCTTATAAACTGTGTTTTCTAAAATTCTCAAGGTTGAAGCAAAGTCACAATCCAGTTAAAATTTCTATAAGGGAAATGGGTAGTTTTAAGACCTGGGGGTAGCTGGTGTGTACTTTATTCTAAGTAAATACTTAATAATACATATTGTTTTGGTGTATCTCTTTTCCCAAATCCCATATTTAATTGAGACCATTAGATTTGCCTTGTTGTTATTGTTGTTTGTTTGTTTTATAGAACAGGTTTCTCTGTCATAGATTTGCCTTTGTTGAGGATTTGAAAATAAGCTCTGAAAGGAAGTTAAGTGAAGCCTTAAACTTATTTCCAGCAAAGAGGGATACTGTGGGAATAAGTGAGACAGATACTTGTTCAAAGTTTCTAGTCTGTTTGAAAATATATGTCAGAGATTGTTCCTATTAGCTTTCTCCTAATATTATTAGCCATGGCTCTGCCTAAGATCAGTATGCCTTTTTTTAGAAGGAAGTTTATAATTTAAAAGCCAGTTTGGGGGGAAAGTACAGATTGATAATAGCATTTTGTTGATGTAGAAATCAGCTCACTTTTTTTTCTAGTCTCTCCCCTTCTGTTGTCTTGATAAACAAAAGGATTAAGTAAAAATTCCCACACCGGGTGTGGTGGGTCAGGCCTATAATCCCAGCACTGTGGGAGGCTGAGGTGAGAGGATTGCCTGAGCCCACAGGTTTGAGACCAGCCTGGGCATCTTGGAGAGACATCATCTCTACGATAAACCAAAAAATTAGCCAGTGCGTGCCCATAGTTCCAGCTACTTGGAAGACTGCGGCAGAAGGATCCTACCACTGCCCTCCAGCCTAGGTGACAGAGTGAAACTCCAATTCAAAAAAAAATTCCCTACACTCATTTCTTTCTTTCTTCAATCGTAGAATTTTCTAAAATTATCATTTAGATATAGTTGATGGGCATAGATGGAACACTCTCATACATTAACTCTACATCTTTTTTTAATTACAAATATTAGTATCCAAAAAAACTTTTGAAGAGCCAAAATGCAGAAACAGGAGGTAGATGATCCTTATCCTTGTCTCTTGATGACATGATATAAGGGAAGATTGGAGTCAGTACATTGTTAAAAGTCCCCCTCAGGCCAAGCACGGTGGCCGAGTCCAGAGGATTGCCTGAGACCATGGGTTCGAGAGCAGCCTGGGCAACTTGGTGAGACCTCCTCTCTATATAAGTCAAAAAATTAGCCGGTCGTGGGTGGCTCACCCCTATAGTTCCAGCTACTTGGAAGGCTGAGGCAGAAGGATCACCTGAGCCCAGCAGGTCAAGGCTGCAGTGACTGTGAGCATGCCACTGCATTCCAGCCCAGGCAACAGAGTGAGACTCCAACTCAGAAAAAAAAAAAAAAGTCCCCCTCAGCCTCTGGGACATCATTGTTTGGTGAACAGTAGTGCTCAAGAGAAAACTACAAAGAGTACTGATATTGGGTTTTTGGAGGGTTTTGTTGGTTTTTTTTTTTAGTTGGGATCTCACTCTGTCACACGACTGAAGTGCGCTGGCATGATCATGGTTTACCACAGCCTTGATCTCTTGCGCTCAGGCAATCCTTCTGACTTAGCTTCACAAGCAGCTGAAACTACAGGTGTGCACCACCATGCCCAGCTAATTGTTTGCTTTTTTTGTAGAGACAAGTTCTCACTATGTTGCTCAGGCTGGTCTCCAACTCCTGGGCTCAAAGCAATCCTCCCACCTTAGCCTTCCAAAGTGCTGGGATTATAGATGTGAGCCTGATGTTTTAAAATATAGCATTCTTATCTTCACTGAAAAAAAAAGTTTATAAATTACTTTGCTGTGTTGAATTGACAGTTGTCATCAAAAAAGTTGGGTGACTTTGAATAAATTGGCAA